AATTGTTTTTCTCCATGTTATACGGTTATAAGTCGAAGATAACACAATATACACGTGTGTGTGGCACGCTTGGGGGAATCGGTACAGACAGTTTTTAAGGAGTTCAATATAGGCAATATAATAAATACGTATAACCGTTTAGTGTTCATAGTATAATAATATAGTATGATTATTGATTATTAATAACTGTAGCGTAAATAAATATAATAGCGGAACGCTTATGACAATAACGCATTTTCCCAGGCTAATGGAAGATATGATTGATTTGTTTGATTTGTTTAAATTGGGTAAAAGTAACAATCTTTTCCAATTGTAATAAGTAATAAGTAATAACCAACAAAATTTTCCAATAAAATTTCTGAAACCGAACTTAAATTCGTATTAAAATTAATTTTTCATTTTTAATTCAATTTCGATATTATTGTAAAAGGTAATAATATTTAATAATAAAAACGATGAACTGGGGAGTGGAGAAGTAAGTAGCCGCTCTGGTGTACAGTAGGAGTCGAGTGTACCTCATCATTGAGTCAGCAGTATAGTAATGACTAATGAATGTGTTAAATTTTAATTAAATTATGTATAATTGTAATTTGTTGGTAGGTATACGACAAAAAACGATTTTAGTTTTACCCGATTATTATAAAAATTATTGAGAATTTTCAAATATTGACCCCTCAAAAAGTACCAACCAAATCCAATTCGCTACCTCATCGAAGTTGATGATCAGGTTTTTTTAACTAAAAAGTGTCTCCATAAAAAATATTAAAAATAAATAAAAAACTAGGAACATCGTAAAATCACACATTCATTGCTACGCTCAGAATCTAATAATATTAACATTTTTAAATTCCTATTCAATATATTAAGGGTTTAAGTCTTTAAGAGTTAAATTTCAAAAAAGTGAAGGAAGCTAGGGAAAACGAACGTAAGAAAACAGTAACCAAATTGTCAAAAACTCTAGATAAGGTCCGTTAAAGATATTTGTACTTGGAGGTGATATTGGGATAATAATAAACAAATACATTTGGTTATTACCTGTTAAGTAGTGTCCGATAAGACGACCTCCCGGCCGCCTGTGAGTTCATAATGTATATACTATATAGTATATATTAATATAATCATTATGATCTCCAATGGCCAATGAATATAAGATGCACAAGAAATGCCGAAACCGTCGACGCAGCGATTTTTTTAACGTCGACCAGCCAACATCTTTTTTCAACCGAATAGTTGTAATATTTTGATCCTCACCTTTAGACTTTAGTCAAGCCCGGATTATGGGGGGACCGAAGGAGGCACAGTCCCGGGGCCCATTGATTTTGGGGGCCCATCTTTATCCCCAAAATACTTTTTTTTAATGCGTCCAATACAGTTTTAAAAAAAAATTATTATTTAAGTAGGTAGGTATATAGTAGGTAAATTATTATAAATAATAAAATTATAAAATAAAATTGTTCTCCATTTCATACCACGAAAAATTACTATGAATAATGAATTATGTTTGTAACAATTTTGTTTGTTTGTTTTTTTTTTTTTTGAGCATTTTAGATTTCCGATTTAACTATTTAAGTATACAAAAAGGTATAATTTAAAAAAAAAAATATTTAGCTCTTGTAAATTAGGTATTTCAGTTAAAATTATTAATACACAATAAAACTAAACTTTAGAGAACCATAGTTAATAACCTAGAGAACCAAAATTGATCATTTTAATGTCAAAATATTCAGAAAAAAGTTTTACCAGAATCCATCAAAAAATATAGTGGTTACTTTTTGAAAAAATAAAGTAAATTTTATTACTGGTACAATTGCGTGTTTCAAAATTTTGAAAATTTTGTAAAAAAAATTGCTTGTTAAAAATAAAGAAACACGTCTTCTTTGGTTTTAACGAAATTCCATATCATCGATTCATAATTGTTAAAAAAAAACCACATACAATGACATATGATACACCCTGTATATTTTTTGTATAGTAAAAATTATACAATAATATAAAGTTGTTAAAATGTAATGATACAATACTATTTTGAAGTTAAAGTTGAAAGATGGCCCACTAAGTGTAAGGTGTCCCGGGGCCCAATTGATCCTTAATCCGGGCTTGTAAATAGTACCGATTCATGATTTTCTTACAGACACTTGTAAATACATTGTAATTTACACTCAAAATTGTGTACAAAAATAGAAGAATGATTCCTCCAATTATGGGCTTTGTCGCACAGGTGGTTTAATACTATTAGTATTGAAATTATATCAACATTATTGGTTAATCTAAAAATGGACGATAAATGTTTGTCCTCTACCCCGTTAAAAACAGTTACAATAAATTACCATCAACCAATTTATCATCAATATCCATAAAAATGTTTCAAAGTTCAAAACGGAAATTACTGGCATCAGTTTTAAAATCACAAATTGGTACGGTTATATCCAACTGCAGGTATACAAAATAATAAATTTTGGTCAAATTCCAAAATATTACTTGAATTGCAGCTGACCCACGATAAAAAAAAATCACCCCGTATGGTTTATTTAAAAATACATAACATGAGCTATAATTATTTATAAACAGTAACTATTATTTGTTATAAAGGAAGTTCTGTCTTTCCGTCTTGTTTAGACTAGTTTTTTCAGTGAACGTTTACTTTTGTTTTAGAATGGACTCTATAATATTATAAGTTTTATTTTAAACTTATTAATTAGGTACCTAACAATTGTTAAAACAAAAAAAACCATATGAATTCTGAATTCATATTGTATATAATTTAAGTGGATGGGTGTCCACCCAGGTCTTAGTGACAAATTCTTAGTACATAAACACGTATTCCGAACCAACCGTACACAACTACCCACTTACAGTAAAATCAGGCTAAGAAAGTAATAACCACACTGTTAATGACTTAAATAAATAAATTAAAAATTAAAATGGAGACAAAATTCCTTTTATGCGTTACTACTTAAATTGACAGTCTCCTTTTGAACATCTTTGTTCAAATTTGAAAACAGATAAAATTCTTGAATTGTATTTTTCTAAAACATGAGCCAAAAATTATTATATTATTCATGTTTCTAGAAAAATATTACCCAATGCAAAAGTTAATAATTATAATTACAACTCTTGAAATTATAAATAAATAACTTTTATCTACTCATCATAACAGTTTCATCGCAATGTATATTATTTTACACATTGTGATTACAATTTTCAATACTTTAGCAATGTTTATAAATATTAAATTATAATATTTTAGTAGATAAAACAATTTTTTATGCATCTTTTTCACTAAATAATAAACAGACAGTGCAGTGATAAGTATATTGTAGTATAAGCTACACATCTTCGTCTTTCTAATTATTCTGAAACTTTTGATTTTCACCACTACAGCACGGTTTATGACTAAGTAAATTTATACCAAAAAAAATAAAGTAAGTATTAAGTATGGGGTATTTTGTATAATATTGAATAATATGTAAACATACCATAACAAAAATAAATGAATAAATTATTTATACAGTAAAAATATAATAAAAATAAAATTGAGATCAAAATGGTTAGAAATAAATGTTATTTAATCCACAGTAAGTGAAAAATTATTGAGCAAAAATAAAATGTACATAAGGTGAGAAAATATTAATTATGGTAGTGATAATTGATGTCTTAATTGAAAACGTAAAATAATAATAAAAAATAAAATTATACATAATAAACAACATAATTTGTTTGAATATTACTCTTCGTAAACATTTTGAAATAGCCATGTTATCTAGAATTTGGACATTAAATTTTAAGCAATAATGACATTTTAAAATTAAAGTGTTTTAAAGAAAATGTAATTTAAATAAAAATTATAAATGTGACATTTATAAAATAAATTTTAGATCCAAGTTGTGTGTTTCTTCACATGTGCACTAAGGATAACGCCAAATGGCTTCATTTAACATCGTTCACATATTATACTGAATAATGTCAATTGGCGTCATGTACCTTGTTATTAAATTCTCTACAATTTGGTCAGCATTACGATTAAATTATTCGTATTTTGTTAACGTCTCCTATAAGTATTATATCATAAGTACATGCGTCATACATTGATTTTTGAATTCTTCCATTTTTTTTAAGAACCCCAATTTTTTCAGCATCACGAGACAAGTATATTTTAATATTATGATACTCAGCGAATGTGTTGAAATAGGAAGAATACCTATAGATATTGTTTTACTTTTGATAAATATTAATACCTTTAATTTAGATAAGTACCTTCTAATTTTCTATCAAATTTCATTTGTATAAAAATTTAAAAAAATATTTTGAACATCCAACATGTTTGCTGTCTTCTTGTGATTCTCGTTTCAATGTGTATATATAATAATAATTTGTGATGAATAAAAACTACTCTCAGAAAATATGGTCACAGTTTTGAACAGCATATTATGAATACAAATTTTAAAATATCTATTTAACCATGATGCCAATGATTAAATAAATGTCAGCTACACATATATATTAGGAAAAATTTACATCAAATGTATATTTAACGCCAAATGGTATTGCTGAACAACCCTAAGGATGCTAATATGCATCAGAACACAGTCAACGTGTTAAGCTGTTTAAGAATATTTAATTTAAGTAATAATAATTTTAATTTAAAGTTATTAACGTCCAAATTTCTAGTTACAGTTGATAGTTAACAGTAATACAATTGTGTACTGTTAACAAAAAACATTTAAATTTTTATAAGTTAATCTATTTATAACAACACACATTCAAATACAATTAATCAATTGTAAAATATTATGTAAAGTTTTAGTGTGATATCACATGTTTCACTTAAACTTAATACACACATAATTGTATAATGCATACTAAATAGTCATTTAAACAAAACATAAAATAATAAACAATAATAATTTCAGTATGTTTCAATTTTCAAAATAAATGTTTGAAATTTTTTTTAGAAAATTGTATGAAAAAATAAAACTTAATTTTGATAAAATAAAAAAGTGTTAGCTATCATTCATAGTACCATTCATGACTTTTTTTATGGTACTATTGGTAACATCAATTTCGTGGAGTTCGACTGATAATATGTTGGAAAAACATACATGGTCACTTTCTATTGGTTCTCCACAGCATTCACAATTTAATACCTACGAATATATATTAATTAATTGAAGATAAATTCAATATTGATACATTATTTTTCTTTATTATTTTTTAGTGAATGTCCAGGATAACAGGAAAACAAATTTTCTTTAGTGCTATAACTATAGTTAAAACTCGACCTGGCTCCTTAACTAGCTTTCCAAAAGTTTGGGTTTTTTAAAAAATACAATTCCAAAAAAATACAGCTTAAGCAGAGCATGGTCTTATTTCCCATCATATTTACTACATGTCTTAAACATTTTATTAATTATTTATTTATAAGTTTTAAGAAAAGAAAATTAATATTGCCCTACTCATTGTATTTCTTTTAAAACAAAATCTTTTTGTGATTGTGTAAATTTAAATTAAATAGAATAAAGAAATTACTAATAAATTATAATAATCAAATTACCAGATACACTCAAAACCAACAATGCGACAGAAACGAGTTCTGTAATTTTTCATAAATTTTAATTTATCAGAAACTCAATGTAATTTTTCTTAGCGATATATAGTTATTTAAATTTTGTAATAGTTGTCATTGCTGTGACTTAATATACTGCATTTGGTTAATAATTATGTATATATTCTCAAATTCAAATATAAGAACATTATTCATGGTATTTGTACATAGGTTTCCATAAATTTTAATTTAGCAATTAAAATATTGTAAATAATAGATAACCCAACGCAGATATTATTATTTATAAGTTTCAATTTTTTGATAATAGGTCAATTCACTCTACTATTTAAGTCTACAAGACAAAATAATACCATTAGTACATTATAATCTTGCAGTAGTCAAAATCAATTGTTAAAAATGAGTTAACCTCCATGCAAATGTTCGAATTTAAATGTTTGATATTATTATTACATTCCAGGGTTAAATACTACATATGAATGCATACTGAGGTTAAACATAATATGAGTAATCAAGTATATCAAGAACATAATTAAACGAGATAATTATCTTAATAGAATTGTATACAATTATACACACAAATGTGATACAATTTTATGAAAAACACTTTCAGTGTGTGTATAGTATTTCATAAACCTGATTTTTTTGTAGGTTTATCATATTTGTTAATAGTTTTTTAAATGTTAAGACAGTTTAGTGGTGACTAATGGGAAGATCGATTTTGAATGATGGCAGGTTTATTATGCACGAGTACACACAAAATTAGTTGTACTGAACGCATATTTACTATGTAGTACACCTGTATGTTTATTATGACAGAAGTAGCGTATTATGCAGGTTATAGTGTTCCTTTAAAGTTTAAGAGGATGCCATACCCAAATGTATTCTCAGTCTTACAGCCATACTACATAACAAAGTACAGCAGTTCTGATGTTGTATTATTTGTTTTAATATATTAGATTGAATTGACCAACTATCAAACCTAAAGGTCAGAACATTATCTGTATTTGTATTTATAACTTTAGCAATATATGAGCATTTTTAAATTATGATATTTCACATACTCATCAGTTATCTTGTTTTAATCATTAGACTACTGCATTAAATCTTATAATTCATTAATAATTTGCATTATTGGACAGACTTTCTTTTGTGACGATTTTCATTCTAAAATGTCTCAAATAAAATAAACCATAGATTTTCAGTTAAACCATAATCAGCAATTAAATCAGTTTTTGTAGTCAGCTTTTATTTCTAACAATCAGCCAAACCTAAAAAATTGCTTTACTGTGTTAATCTTAGCAAAATGCAAGTTAGGCAATTGTTAGAATAATAAAGAGACGCTCCAAAGAGAGCAGCACTTAGCACATGTTAGCCATACCCATTTCTACCGCCTTGTGCAGAAGCTCACTGCCTGAGGTTACTCTTAATTGAGACAGAATATATTATATGCTGTAAATAATAAGAAGGTATAAACGACACCGCAGGGTATCAGCAGTATTTAGTGCTGTCGAGTACATGCCAACAGTAGTCAAAGGATTTACAAAATTATTGAATTTTGGTAATTTTCGTTATCCCGACTACCACCCCTATACTATATCAGCCAGACTTTAGTCGGGATAAAGGAATTGAAACTCGTGGAAGTCGGGATAACAGAAAAGTGCCTTAAATTGAGATACAGTTATTTTTATAAATAAGAAGAAATGTGACAGCAGTAGTCTAGTAGTCAGTATCTATACTATATTTAAAATAAAGCTTCAAGCTTCGGAGGCGAATAGTTTTAGTTTCAAGACGGTCAGACGTCCCACTACGGTGGAGCGTTATGCGCTGTCACGCCCATGCAGATAACTCAGCGGCCGAAGCCTAATCTTATTTGGAATAGAGCATACACTATATAGGTAATAAAACAGATAATGATTTTACCTCTATATTTGATAATATGTAAATTCACTCTAATATTAATTATACCACAACATTTTAGCAGCTGAAATCAAATTTTGTATGGTGTACATTTTCTGAGATTCTGCGTCCTTTTAAGGTGTTAAGGAGAATATTAATTAAAATATTAAAAATATTGAGAATGAACATGAGCTGACAGGGAAATTAACAGGTCAATCTAGGTCAATGTTTTCTTAAAATGATAATATTTATTTATGTGTTTATCAATACTTTTCTGACTACTGATGATATTATAAAACTAAAATATTTTACCTCTAAAGTATAAAAACTTTTTTGTCGAGCAATCCTTTTCAATATTCTATTTCTTGCACGTTCTTTAGCACGGAATTCAGGATCCATTCTTCTTTGGCGTTGTCTTTCTTTATCTCTTTCTTTTTTTAATCGATTGAGATCTTCCAAATCTACATTATCTTCATTATTTAACCTAAAAATATAATATTATTAGTTGTAAAGTTAAAAAAATAATCAACTTATTTATATAGGTATCTTACAATGATGTGATTTTACTACAATCAATATTAGCTTCAGAACATAATTTTTCAATGTTATCACTATAAAGCCCTTTAGATCTAGATAGTCTTTTAGCTATCGTGTTTTTTCCTCGTTCAATTGCTCTTAACTCTGGATCTAAACGCCTTTTCCGTTGTCGTTCACGGTCACGTTCTAAGCGACGTTTTCTAGATTGTTCTCGTTGTTCATCTGTCAATGGTCTTCTGGGCATTTTTTATACTGTGTACATATGAAAACTATTTAACTTCAGTATAAATTATAATGTTAGTTTAAATACTTACAATCACATAATTATGTAGATGGATAATTTAAATTGTATTTGTATAGCATTTATATAGACTAGATTAAAAAGTACTGACTTGGGTTTTTGATATGAAATACAACAATGGCAAGGTTGTATTTAATTGTCATGACTAAATTTGTTTTAACATTCATAAATATTTATTCAGTCTTCATCAAAATTGTTCTGAAAAATAAGAAAATGTATGTTACATCAAAATTTGTTAAATTACATTTTTTTTTTATTTAACAATAGACATCCGTAAATAGTTCTAGGGTGAACTTACATATTAATAGAACGTATACCCTATTTAAAATTAGAATGTTAAATAAGTTGATGCAAAGGAAGTAAAATCGATATGGGCGATATGGCTCGTTTTGATAATTCTGGATATTCAGATTTGACAGAAATTAAAATGTATCACATGCATTTTATTGAAATCTGATGCCAGATTTTCATCTGATGATCTCAAATCAATAAGTTTTTTGATTATTTTTAAGTTTCCTTATTTTATTTCTTTGATACCTTTTGAAATGAAATTAATTTCTTATCCACACTAGATTTTTTTCTGGAAAATCTTTAAACCGTGTGGCAAATTTGTTTGTAAACTTATTAGAAGAGCAGTTATAATTTCTTTAATCTTATTAATATCAATATCACTGAAAATTCTGATAAGCATGAAAATATTACAAATTTGTCATCGTCGTTATAATTTTTCTACAGAAGTATTTTATTTTTAAAAACGTAGATTTTGTCAGAAAGAAATACAAAATTATAAGCATTAATACGATTAACTCAACGGCTAAAGTACAGGCTAATACAACATAATAACCGTGAGATTAAATTAAATTTGAAAATAACCCATATACTGCGTGATTCAATAAAACTTGTCATCGCAAAATTAAAATATGAAAATAATATTACGATTGACACGGCCATTGACGATACAAAATAATTTTACATTATATAAAATAATATACATAGTATATAACTTTTTTATTTGATTTTATATTATTGTCAACCTCACGATCCTCTAATAAATTTGTTCAACTAAATCTATTGATTATAATTTTATGAAAATCAATCAAAAAATGAAGATTTGGATGAGATTATACGTTTTAGGCATTTCATTTCATATACTAGATATATTTATTAATTATGGCTGATCGTGTACTTTGTTGCCTGTGTTAAATTAAATAATACCAGTATATTCACCTGTCTTAAACAATGTTAATACTATACATATTATATATAACAGCTATTTGGGTGATTTTCACCAAATCTATACACTATATAAGCCAAATACCACACACTCACTCACTCACTCATTCATTTCTACATTTCAAAAACTACAGAACATACCTACAAAGTTGAAATTTGGAATACCTAGTGGTTCCTCTCTAATGATCTAGATGTGCAATAAGAAAGGATTTTCTGATACTCGCATTTCAAAGAGGCGGTCAAACAGGGATCTTGAGATTCACGTTTGAAATTGAAACTTTTTTGTTTGTTTATAAATAGTTGCCATTGGTTGCAGATTATAATAGCAATAATAGAATAAATAATTATATAAGTATTTTTTTTTTTTTTTTTGTATATAAATGGTTGTCATTGGTTACTCAGGCAGATCAGGTACAAGCATGCATCAAATTGTTGCGCTTATGGCCTAGAAATAAAGAAACTATATCTTAAAACCAAATGTATGTGTGTAGCTTATATAATCAAAAACTACTCAATTGAATTTTACGAAAAAAAGTTAAGAGAGTACCTAAGTAGTTTAAACCACATTAAAAAATATACACGGTACTAATAAAATCCAATCCGCGGCTTGTGGTTGCCCATCTAGGTTGAATTATTTCACAAAGCTGATTTGTCTGTGAACTAAAGTAAATTAAAATTGAGATACACTCAGGCCTCTATAGCGTACATACTTTATTAATAAATAGGATTTTCCACAAAAAAAACTGCACACGGATGAAGCCGGGATATTTAGCTTGTATAAAATAAAGTTCTAATATATAGTGTTCTTATATACAAATTATTACAAAAATTAATAACTATTTTATTTTATGCAATCAATCACAACCCTAGACTAACAAAATAATATATTTTGGGGTGAAAATCCTCGGGTATAGGATTATCTATATACCAAATATTTTCAGAACCATAATATAGACTTGGCTGAGGATTGCTTATTTACACTCACAGTTCACAGACAAACGCATAAACATTGCCTATTAAGTTTTAATAATATAGATTAGGGTTCAACCCTAACTAAAATGTTAAATTTAATATTGAATCTTTTGTATACCTGTATTATTTACAATTTTGTAACCAGCGTGTCAAATCAAAAATATTTTACATATTATATAGGCCCATATGCACCTCTGCCGAACATTTAACAGAATTTCATAGTCTTTCTAGTATAAACACCATTGATATAATAGCAAATCAAAATGACCCGAAACATTAGGGTAATCCAACATCATGAAACATAGGAGGTACCTACAACTAAATAATTTGAGGATGAAATGTCTGATAGGTTAGGTTAAGATTCTTTAGATAGTCTAATATCCATGTACCTAAACAATTCTATGGTTTTGGACGAAATGTATTATGCCATGGTGCATGAAAATGTATGTATGGTTCACTAAGATTTAATGGACCAATCATGGGCCTCTAAATCTTGTCAAATGGACCATTTGCTCACTATTCATTCATTAAACGTTTAGTGCAACCTGTTGCCATTAGTATTATAAATTATAATGGTACAAAGCATATAGAAAAACGCCGATGATTTGTAACCCAAAGCCATCTTTTTCAGCTACCTTCTTCCACGTATTCTAGGTGCATTCAATATCGCAAAATTCGAATGATATATATATGAAAATAATAAACATAAGAATGAAAAGGAACGTTAAGTACCAACAAATTACAAAACAGTGTATCGCATATTCAATATTATTGTGCTTAATCTTGTTATTTTCATTAAATGAACAATGGTGTTCGTTGCCCGTTGGTCACAACCATGGCAACGAAAGACGAACGGGCACAACTGAAATGCAATGCACAACAAATAACAAAAAAAGACATCATTTAGCCAGAATGATGTGTGAAATGCCATGATTCTGAGAAAATGACAAATACAAAAATATCGGTACGAATCTGTAAGTTCTTAACGGCACGTTCGTCTCTTATTCGTCGGATTGCGTAATAAGTAATAACACACACGCTGATGCGGCAAATGTACGACCTGTCAACCCGTTCGGACCCAGACATGGCAAGCCATGTCAAAGTTGTTAAGTGCTCATTTCGCGATCACGTAGGAGGTGGTAGACGAAACGGATATATATTCTATCTCTATGGTACAAACGTCAATTACCTGGCATTGGCCCAACGCGACTCCACATCGTTTGACGTCATCGGAGACCGGCATTGCGGAATCCGACGATAAATATATTGCCTTAGTGCGTCGCGAAAACTTACGAGAAGTCGAGAAGATAACTACTAGTCACTCGACGACGAACGACGACCGACGACATTAATAATTGCAGAATTATTATATTATGCACATTGCACGCCGCCGCGTCGTCGCCACTCGTCTCTGTCTCGCCTGCAGGCCGCAGTTCAGTTGAATTTACTATTTACATATTAATATTAAATATATACCGATTTTCTACGCACACTGCACAGGCATGCGTAAAAAAACTTAAAAAACTAACGTAATAATGATAATAATAACAACAACAACAATATAATATATAATCTCTTTTGACGACGCTCCGCGATTCGGGACTCGTAGTCCATAGGGCATAGACGATCATAGACGGAGCATTATTGGTTGGAGGGGTAGGGTAGACAACTACTCACTCACGGCGGCTACAGATTACATAATCTGTGTCACGGGGCGCTGGGTACAGTTATCCCAATCGTGATAAGGAATATGTTTTGTTACCAACGTCAAATATTGAAAAAAATTCCGAATGGGAATTTAATTGGGCTCATGGTTAGATACTGTACGAAATGTAGTCCGTCCTATATATTATATTCATTGTAAGTTTATAAATAGCTAATAGGTACTTTTAAATTATAATATAAATAATATTTATAATAACATTAGAATATTATATTAATATCATTATTCATTATCACGGTATGGGAAGGGGTCGGTATATGGGGGTAAATCAATATATTTTCTTATCCCATTCCAAGTGTTTTACATTTATATTTTTATTAGAATCAACTATTGGTTTGTCTTTACATGATATTGGACATTTAATTTACAATACCTTTTCTGTACCACTTTTGTTCAAAATAAGTCAAATGGAACTTGCACATAGCCAAGGTCGCTTAATATCTACTATTCAACCACATATGACTACATCTTTATTGTATATCTGATTGAAAGCTTCTAAAGCTATTGGTTCATTAATCATTTGACTGATCAATTGTACTAATAAACACTTCAATAATTTTAAAAATTATGAACTTTCAAATCAAAAGGAAATATATATATCACAATAAAATAAAATATTAAATAATTAGCTAAAAATATGACTACCTACACTTTTAAAAATAGAAAAAATATATATATAAATTTATATAATAATTTTCCTTTAAACAATTATTTAGTTATTAATATTTAATATAAAATATTTATTATTTAATTATTTATTATATAATATAATATTTTGTCTAGTAAAAAGAATACTTCGGGATTTTTATTTTCAAGGTTGGTACCACGATATGACATAGTTCTTATCATGATTGGGATAACTGTATCTTGCCGTGTCACGGGCCTCACAGCCTGTTAGCAGTGTTGTCATTTCTGACAACATAAAATATGTTTATTCGCATATTTATCCTACTATTATTATTAACACGAAAGTTTGTAAGTATGTTTGTGACTCTTTCACGTAAAAACTACTGAA